GGTGAGCCGGAAGAAAAGACGCGGAATCCATGGCCTCAGGCCAAATTGCCCCAAACTGCACTGCAAGAAACACACGCACATATTCATCTGGGCCCAGCGCGCTGTCCCCCATCCACGTGAGGGTTTGCAACTGAAGTGACCGTAGGATGCCATCCAGCTGAGCGGCATTGTGCGCTTGCTTGTGATCCATATACATGTACATACACATGGTTTGCTGTATGGCTCACTATATGCATGCCTTAGAAGTCCAAGACTATATTGTAGCGCCAAAACTGGTACCACCAAAGTATATAGGAATTTCTTGTCGGGTCACATATATATAGTCTTGACCTCCCAAGCCATGCGCAGGTTTTGAGGTTCTGACAAAGAGTAATCGTGGCAGGGTATGGTGAACCGCTCGCACAAATCTTCGATGAACTTGAAGTACGGTACCATGAACAGCCGGCTTGACGCCGGCTGCTCCACGAATATGTAGCAAGCTCGGCAAATTAGGATGATAATGATAAGAGCAGTCCGGCATCCAATCCTTGGCACTGAATGGAACAACCTGTCACACTACAGGAGCACTTTACAGGCACTGTTTAGACTAGTTCAGGACATAGCTGGTTGGCCAGGGCAACATAGGCCAATGACTCGTTTCCAAACGGCTGCTGCTCACTGCGGCAATGTGTTGGGAGGTTTAGAAACACATAGCTCCCACAAGGGACCGACACCATCCGGCCGCACCCTGAGAGCCATCTGCAGTAGTTTCAGGAATCCACACCTTGGCGCATACTCTACGCCCTGACAGACCACTTGCTGTTATGTGTTGCGACTGGGACCCACACACACTGGTGATGTCATTGTCCTGGCCTCTGGTCAAGATGTCATAGTCCATCCTGGCGAAGAAGTGGCACGGTGTACAAACACGGACTCAACCGTGAATAACGCTTAGGAAGGGGCGTCTTCCGGCCATATGCACCTCAAAAGCCACGAGCCCCAAACTCCAAAGGTTTGATGTGGCTCATGAACAGAAGACACATGCACATGTGCAGTTAAATTTCAATCCACCAAGAGATCCAAAAACTCCGTGTTTGGAAGCGTGGTTGAAAGACTGGTGGTCACGTGGCAGCAGTTGTAACCATGGCCGGGTCTTTAGCTGTTGAGCTTTTTCATAGATGAAGCCTGTGGGCAAACGTGAATCTGAGGTATTGGCGAAATGCTTTGCCGATCGGCTTTCCACTACCACTGAAGCAATCCAGCGCATCGACGTCCTTGGGCTGCAATACGTGGCTTGGACTGGAAATTTGTTCAGCGGGAACGATTCGAGCAAGAATTGTTTGAAATGGGATTAGGGGCTCTGAAGATTCACATACTACCTACGACCGCCAGACACTAAAAGGCATTTTTTTGGAGGTGTCCGCTTTTCTCCGGTTTTTCAGCTTTTTGGGCTATACAACGGACACCTCCAAAAATTACCTTTTAGGGTTTGCTGGCTCCGGTTGGACAGGAGTACATCTAAGGAACAACTCGTCGATTCACCAAGTCTTCTTTCGCGGACATCTGGGAAACGTAGTCAATGGCGTGGAACCTGGGGCAAATCAACGAGTGTTCTGGCAAAGTGTTCTGGCTAGCTGTTCTTGCATATAGTTGACGACAAAGGGCGCAACCAAAAATATTAACTCGTCAAGGAACAAAACCAAAGGGATGCTGCAAGCAGTGAGCATGGCACTTTGGTGAGCCGTCAGGCCCAAAGCACCAGACATGGTGTATCCCAAAAATTGCGCAAACTAACTATAGACTAAAAGTTGGAATCAGATCGATATCGATTGTTTTTTGTAACGTAAAGATCTTGCCCGAAACCAGAGCACACAGCACCTTGATCAACAAGACATGTACGCATGCATATAGGGAAGGATCAGCTGCGCTGCCGCACTGCGCGTGTTGACATGACTATATACGTGCACTCTGATTTAGGCTTCATTTCTCCACAGCCTGTCGCCTTGCTTCAGCTCCGAAGCGCCCAGCCTGGAGTCACAGAAGGTGAGAAAGGAAGAAGATTTCAGCTAAGTTTCCACCCCTAATCTGTGTTCATCTGGCAGGCGCCAAATGAACACCAATTTGGGGCCAACATTTCTTGCGTAGTGGCACGGGAAAATTGCTAAGAAATGGCTAGAAATGGGCACCGCACCTCACAAAGGATCCCATCCAGCCAATACACATGCCTTTTTCCACCTGAGCAGTGGCGTTTGGCTGAGCACTCGGATACAAGGAGAACAGCAGTCAGCAGTATGCGGAAATGCCATGCCCGACAAAAGTGCTTGGCCTGCTAATTATTCGCAATTGTGTAATTCCGTTTTGTTTGCCAAACACTACCAGCGCCGTGCGCTGACTCACAAGCCCCCCAACGCTTTCACCAGCCCACCATGCTTTGACCAGGATATCGTGCAAGATTTTCTAGATGCAATGACCTGGCACGACAAATAAGGGCTAACCTTGCGGAATCTGAAGCCTCACACAGGCTACCAGAGACTTGGACAACCCGCCTTCAACGTCGGCCCGCCCAGTTTTTCAACAACCTTCTCCGCGAAGCCCGTGAAGATTTCGCCCACGAAGAAGGCTCGGGTGGTGAACCTTATACCCTAGGCCTCCAAAAAAATACCTGTGGCCGTTGTTCCTGAGACAAGTGGCAGGACCCCAATGCTTGGCCCTTTGGGAACCAGAAGTGGCAGTGTGAAAGACCTTGGCCAATCAACACGCCCCCAAACTCAAGGCATATTCATACCCGGAATTGCTTCACGACCTGTCAGCGCGTGAGTGAGTGACCTACCCACGAGTGACCTACCCACGACAGTGACTATCATTTAAAACTATGGAGTCATGGAGGGATGTTTGGGTTTGTTTTATGGCCTCCTGGTGTTCTTTTAGCACGTCATGTACCTTGGTGGCGCAGTGGGAACATATTCTTGCGAAAAAAAAGGGTCGCGAGCAAGGCCAAACACAGAATCCTGAATGCAGCCCAACTGCTGCATCCGGGCCACACGTTGCTGCCAAAGCCCATTTCAGTTTTGGAGTCCTTCTCTTGCGGGGAGTCCTTTTCTTTCGAAGTGGTGTTTTGTGTTCCTTCCCTTTATTCTTCCCCTCTGGTGTCTTCTGTGTATTTCTCCCTTTCGATCTCTTCCGCTTGAGGGATGTCCGCTTGAGGGATGGCTGAGCTTCCTGAGAACCAGCGTCCCCACCATCTTCTTCTTGTGACAACTCTAGCTCTATATCCCGGTCTTCTTTCTCCAAGTCTTGGTCGCTCTCCGGGTCTTTCTCCGAATCTTTTGGCTTTTTTCCCCCTCCCTCTGCCCCTACCTCTCCCTCGGCCCCGGCCACCCCTCCCACTTGCTGGGGCATCTGGTGGCGGTGGCCCGGACGCAGGCACGAATGCTGCTGCGGCATTTCGGAACTTCTTCTGCGCCTCCATCGAAGGACCGGCGGTAATGAGCAAATCAGAAAAAGCAGTTGGGCAGATGCTGCTGGGCTCATGGAAGCAGTTGAAGGGATTAGAGAAACATGTTCCCAGCAACCTTCATGTCAGCCGAGCTCTAAGATATAAATACGGGTTTCACCTGGAAGCACTTCATGGTTTAACTGCTAGGCTTTGGGAAGTCGTGAGCCCAGACCTTGCTCTGGGTCCAGTCACGCCTTAATCCTGGGGTTGTTGCAAACTCGAATGAGGTTTTGGCCTGTGCCTTGACTGCCTTGACCCAATTTGGCTCCAGTCAGAGCAGTGTAGCTGTTTGTAAAAAAGAAGACTGGAGGCCACCCCTCAAAATCACATGAGTGGACTTTAGGCTTTGTGGATGAACTTTGAACACCAAGTTTGCCATTCAATTTAAACGCAGCCCATGCGATCCTTTAGGCTTGCTGCTTGCGCGGGTGACGTGTATGCCTACAATTCATGAACCATTTGCCCAGCCTCCATGATATCATGTTCAGAGGCACCCTCAGCTTGGTTCAATTTGTTGATGGACTCCTCTGCGGCCTTCTGCAAGGTTTCCGGTATCGATCGAACTGGGAAAGGTTTCTCCTACAAATTCGGGGTGATTCAGGTATAGCATGAAAATCCTGAGCCAAAAAAAGAACCGTGTGTCAAGGTCTTTCAAAAATCAAAGTCCTTTCTGGTCGGCCGCCGCTCATCATCAAAATCGGGTATGACATCAGTGACCTTGCGCTTTTCGTCATCAGGATCGACACCTGGGATTGCAGCTGAGCAGTGCTCTGAGCAGTGTGAAGGCACGAGGGTTGGTTCTGGGCGGGCTGAGGTCATACGTCCTTCAGGTTTCAGAAACTCACACCAAACCGCTGGCTGAGTTTTTTTGATCTATAAGTAGGCCAACGTCTTTATTTGTTGGTGGGAACTTGGACCCTTGGCTTGTGTGATCAGTGATCAGCCAGAGGCACATTGATCAAATACCCGTGGAAACTCGTCCTCTGCCTCCTCACCCTCGTGGCCCGCAGTTGAGTCACTATCTTCACCTCTGCTGCGAACCTTTGAACCTTGGCAAGATGGGCGCTTCATGGCAGTGCGCCAAGATTAACCACGACCATAAACATATCACGGATGATCAACCCTTTACAGCCAAGACCGGAATTTCTAGCTCACTGGAAAAAAACCTTTTCACCATGATCGATATAAAAACTCTGTTTCTATCCAGATGATCAAACCAAACAGGTCGGTCCGTCAAGAAAGATGCTATTGTTGCACGAAAAAACTCGAATTCAATTGCATCACGATGGACTTCTCATGGCGGATCTCTTCAGCAGTTGGATAGTCCTTCTGACTACCTGTGTTTGGGGTATCCTTTTTCTTGTTTTTGGAGAGCTGGACTTGGAACCGGATCTTTTTGGCTGGCTCGGGCTCTCCAATCTCAAGGCCTGGACCATCGCTTTCAACTTCGCCATGTTGGGGTGATTGGTCCTGGCACCGTGGCATCAAAGATGGAATGAAGGGAAACTTGGGAACTACGCTGGGCTCAGGATATTGGATCGGGGCTCCAGGGTTCCACAACAATCGCACAGTCGCCAACAGTCCTGTGAATGTCAGGGTTGCGGTTCGATCTTCTGACAAGATACTGCATGAACCCCCTGTGTAGGTTTGCCTCTCGGGATGCCCAAGCCTGACACAAACTAACAAGAGGGTAACAAACAAAACGAGTTGGGCTGCAGGTTCATCAAATACAAACGCAAACAGATCATGATGAACTGCCTGTCGACTGTTACAACGTTTCTAGGTGAACTTGCCTCGATATCTTTAAAGGTTGCGGTCTCTCCCAGCAAAGCATGTCGTTGGGCAACTCGTACCAAACTCTCCTCCGGGGAGCCTCAATTGCGGGGCTACGAGGACAAGGGGCCCGAATCAAGCACTGCAGACCTGCTAGGTAGCCGCCCACTCAGGAAACATGCCAGAAATAGGGCGCTTCGACATTAAAATATACCTGGCAGCTCGTTGGAGGCACGTTTGCCCCAATCGTTGCCAAGAGCTTCAGGAGAAAGGCGCAGTTGTTGTCATCACAGACCTCCAGCTGCCAACAAATACGCAGCGGAAGCATGCAACCAAGTGCCCCAATCATCCTGGCCCTTCTGTATGTCGTACCTATAGATATACATGCACCTACAATCCACACACCTCCTGGTACCGTGCTACCCCTGTCTTGTGATCTTGCAGGAGTCCATCTCCCCAGCCACCAGACCCCTCTTTTGAAAGTTTAAGCTTCCCAGCATCTGCAGAAGTGATAGCTGCGGAAGTGGAGTCGTTCACGAACGTGAAGAGCGCCGGGGCCTGCAACATATGATTGATCATGAATGGCCAGGCAAACTGACCCAAATGGCTATCACTGAACACTTCGACACAGCAGCTTTCACACCACACCACAGTCTTGTGTTGTCCTCGCCTGCTTCTTCTCTAAAGCTACGGAAACTGCATGTGGTGGCAGCCCTTTCTTCTTGGCCAGGTCATGGAATCGCTGTACCTTGTACTCGTTGGTTTGGAGGTAGGAATCATAGAACTCCTCAAGGGACCAGGGCCAACATCAACCCAAATCCAGGGAAGGCTCAATGTTCCCCAGGCAACCCATTTGAAAAGAACTTCAAGACCAAACCAGAGTGGCACACAACCTTTGGGCAACCCATCCTCCAACAGCTGAACATATGTTCTGTTGGGCTTGGCTCGGGGCATGGCTCAGGATCTGGACATCGAGACACGCACGCCCCGACGCCACGACAAAAAAAAGAGCTGGGCAGCTGCGTGTCGGGCTCAGATAAACAGATGCCGGCATCAGCCTGCAGTACCTTGATCTATAGGCATGTTGGTATGAAAATCCCAGATGTACCGGTCTCAAGCAACTGCCAACTGAAATCAGGCCAGGTTTACTGGGCGCGTAAAGGCTTCTACCAAGCCTTTCTTCCAGGTCCAGCAAACGCGCTGCATGAAGAGCTTTCCGAGCCATTCAGCACGCGTCTTGAGCCACGCGCACTGCAACACGAAGACCCGGTTGGCTGTTCATCCATCTTTTGCTCATGATCATGAACCAGGTTTCAAAGCCCCTAAGCATGTCAGCCTTTGTGCCGAGGGTGTGCACCTTTTGAGGTCCAGGACCCCAAAAAGTAACAGTCACAATCATCCCTTGTGAGGTCCTGTTTCTCGCAATTGCCGAGGACCCTGAAAAGTAGGGTCCTGGACTGTCAGGGATATATATATATATATATATACTCTTCCACCTATTATGAAACTGTGCATGCCGCCCACCTCATAAGCATGCTTTGAGATGATGAGCATGCAGCAGGTGACGGCCACGTAGCCTGTCACGGCTCGGGCACCAACTACACACACATATACACAGCACCTGTGATTCTTTTTCACTCATGACTCATTATATATTAATATGTTCTGTTCTCTTTCTCTCTCTCTCTCTCTCACCCTCTCTCTCTCTCTCTCTCGCTGTCTCTCGGGCTTAGCAGTCGCGCTGTCTCACACAGAGACGCCCGCGTGGCGTGCCAGCTCATAGCTCAACATGGGTGTACACAAATATGCACACATAATCACACATATATGTGACCATTCGCAAAATTAAAGTGGTGCCACTGCGAAACCAGCATTAATGCGTGGGTTTCCCAGGCATCACATTTACAAGGCCACACACACGTCTTGCCACACAAACCCTCAGCGCAATCAAAACGAATGCTGTCTAGCAGCGAGCTTGAAAGGAATTGAAACCCTTGAATCGCAGTGGAAACAGCAAGCTCTCCTTGGTTCAACAAATGTTGCACCGAATGGAAGTGGTTTCAATATGTCTCCTGCGTGCATTGGCCCTTCTTAACATTGTGAAACTGCAACAAGTTTCATCATGTCTCATCTAATTATACGTGATCTCCGGCAGTGAGCCATCACTACCCGTAGGTTTCTGGGCCTGTGGTTATAATATGTTATAATATAGTGGCCCACAAGTGAAGCCGTCACTTGAGTAAGGTTGTTTAAGAGCGCGAACCTTAAGTGCTTCACTTTACAGTTGAATGCAGTTGATTCATACAATGCTTCTGTTGCTGCTAAAATATAAGCATACGGACAAGCTGCAATAGCCACTCATCATTGCAAAGCAACTTTGGAGTGGATTTGAGTACTGTAGAGTACAGTAGACCTTCTTCATTGAGCCAAGTTGCACTTACAGCAATTGAGCCCCCAATGACCAGCAAAGATGTAAGAATCTCTGAAGAGTTGTCACCCTGATGCATGCCACAAAAACAAAAAGGCAGCCAGTGACATGCATTGAGCATTTAGATTACACAATGGACAATTCCGATGTTCTCAGGTCATCTCCGGGAATGCGCTTTTTGCTTGTTTGCTTTTCGGCCTCTGATGCGAGGAGGGCCACGAGCTTGACCAGTTGGAATCCCACAATCACGACCCAAGTCACCATGCGCACCTCAGGTCTTCTCGGGCAAGTCGCTTGCGGTCTTCTTCATGGCGCATGGCGCATGGTTCGCACGTTCGAATCGACCACTTGGGCATTTGTTCTCGCAAAGAATGAACTGTGAGCTGAGGTCTGTGGCAAGTTCATGTTCCCGGCTGCCGGTGCACCAGGATGTGTAAAACCATGAAAGCTTCGACACGAAGAGGTGACAACGAGAAGAAAGCCGCGGCTACTTTAGCCAAATATTGACCCGCACTGTGGTCAGCTCATTGAGACATAATAATAATGTTCCAAACAAAAGGTCTACAAGTTATGCACGGACTATCTCTCAGGCAATCTACATCTTCATCTTCTGTACATGTTCTGGGAACCAAATGGAGCCATGCGGATTGAGGTTCATGCAATTTCAACTGTCAAGTTGCTGAAACAAAGAACTGGTTGCCACTCGTTTCATCGAAGATCTGGCAAAAGGCCTCGAGGAATGAAAGAACGCTTCAGGTTGCACTACTGACAATACTCTTCTCACAACAGTGCGATGACCGCCCACGTGCCTGAACCAAACAACAGCAACATGCTGATATGTTTCCAACAAAGGCTCGGGCGAATTCGTTGAAACTGTCCTGCCTGTTCGTGCAGTTTCGAACGGAATTGGAGTGAAATCATGTTGTAGTAGAACCTGAGCTTCTTCACAATGGCATCGAAGTGCTGGGGTTGTTTGTCTCATTCATTGCATCCACCTTCGAACCACCATGAGCATGGTTTTCCATGCTTTTCCAATCACCGAGAGCCGCACTCTGTGGTGTAGCGATCCTTCTTGGTGAAGCGACTCGGCCTGCAAGGCATGGACCAAGATGTCAACGGAGTTCGCAGTCAAAAACACTATAGCTAGTTATTTGCCGACAAACCTTGGTTGGAAAAATACATAACCTTCTTAAGGCAACCACACTACCTACTTTTCTTTCCAGGACTGCACTGCTTCAGTCCACTCAGTTCCCTCAGTAGCAGAAACGGTACAAGCGATGTCGCAGTTACACGTCTCAGATTCAAACAAGAAAGGCAACATACAAAATATACAAAACTCATCAAAACTCTTACCTGCATGCTGCAATTTCTGCACTCCCGGACCTTCTGCTGCTCTCCGCGGCTGGCGTCGTTGCATTATGTTCAACACCCTCGTCCTCCATGGTCCGCTCCTCGAGCTCTTCAAGATGGAGCAATTCCCGTTGCATGCCTGCGCAAGAGTTCTGGCAGCTTCCGCGGGATCAGGGTTTCAAATCAAACAGGTCACTCCCAACCGTCGACGACTCAATGACTGCTAGCATGGTATATACACATGAGAATGGAGGGGACGAAAGCCAGCCCTCGTAGAGACTTGGAACAACAAGAATAACATAAACTTTGAACTGGTGTTTGTCAGCCAGCTGCTTGCGGAGACCTAGCTCAATCCCAGAAGATAGCGCTTCTTTGCTGATGTCCCTTTTTTATCATGTTTCTTCGTGACAAAAAGCGACGGAGGAACCATACACACAACTAGACCGCCGACTGCATGGCCACTTTGTGATGCTAATGATGCACCATTCAGCCCTTTCGGCATCACTCGCATCACCAAGGCACTGATAAAAATGCATTTTCACTTTGACCTTTTCGCTGCAACTACCACCCAACCCCCACACCCCCCCAATACTAACTTTGTTCGCCCATCAGGCAGCCTATCGACTTGCTTTTGCAATAATGTATAGATTGGTCTAAAGACACCCCACTGGGTTCGCACAACGTACCAGTTCATCAAACAAATTGTAAAGCTGTAGCTGTTCTATTCGTGAAGCTTCAGGCTCAATGATCAACATGATCAACACAACCTCTACCTCAAATGTGTTTGAGTACTTTCTGTTATGAAGTCAGAATTCAGAATTGCAAGGATGGCCATCCCCGGCATCCTGTGCTCAGACTAGCTTCGTTGGGAGTAGTTGGCTAACTAAGTAGATAGTCATCCAAGCACACTGCCCCTCGTTTTCAGTACCAACTGAGTTCATACAAATCCCAGCATGCAAAAGCAAATCCCAGCATGCCCTAGCATGTGACTCAAGGTGTAAGGCAGTATGTAAGACAAGAAAGTCAGAAGTCTGAAAGTTCTTGGAAGCAGCTGTTGATGCACACTGGGACAAATTCGTGTACAACAGAACGAAATCCTAAGATGGAGGGCGGATGAATGTGGGACAGGTAAACGAAGAGCCCACACTTCCTGAGTGGTGTATGTAATCCTTTTGATTTACATTGATTTACTAACGCGGGTCTTGCTCAAGTTTCAAGCAATGCAAACCTGTAATTCCAGGCTGGACACAAACACACACACACACACACTGATCAAAGTTTCACTCGTTTCTCCTGTGTGCGTCCAAATCCCGGCCCTTGCCTGCACTTACGGCGAGCCGGTCTGCCACGCCCTGAAAATTGATACATGCATCTTGCCCTCCTCCACCCAGTACATCAGACATCCTGAGGAACTGGGCCGTCTGGGTTGACACTGCATTTGACATTTGGATTTAGTATATAGACCGACTCAGGAGTAAAGGTGTCAAGGTAATTTATATATATATATATAGATTGCTCAAGTCGACGTGCTCCAACCCAAATGCATCCAA